AAGGCAGAGTGGGGAAAGGAGCCACTTCCTGCTGCAGAGCTTCCTCTCCTGGCTCCGGGCCACCCTCTGTTGGCAGTTTGTGGCCAAGCCATTGGCCCGGGCAGTCTCGCTTCAGCCACCTGCTAAGCTGTGCTAGAAAAGCTCCCTCTGCTGCCTGAGCTCCTGCCGGTTGGAAGAGACCTCACTGCCTTTTGTCATCTTCACCTGGAGATAGGCTGTACCCTGGGGCACCGAAGGATTTGCCCTGGAGCAACAGGCTAAGAACTGCTGGGTTAGACCAAAGTGTCCTGTCTTCTGCCAGTGGCCAATGCCAGGTGCCCCAGAGGGAGTGAACCAAGCAGGGAATCATTCAGTGATCCCTCCTGTCGCCCATTCCCAACCCTGACAAACATGCCAGGGACACCATCTCTGCCCATCCTGGCTAATAGCCATTGATGGACCTATCCTCCATGATTGTATCTAATTCTTTTTTGAACCCTGTTACAGTCTTGGTCTTGACAGCATCCTCTGGCAAGGAGTTCCACAGGCTGTCTCTGCATTATGTGAAGAAAGACTTCCTTTTGGTCTTATGACGGCAGCTGGAGTCAGCTGTGACCCAGCAGGTTTTGCCAAGATCTCACTGACAGTAAGGTCTGTTTCAGGTACATGGCGAACACAGAAACCTACCTGAAAAACATGGCCCTGAAACACATGCCTCCCAACCTGCAGAAGGTTGATCTCCTGAGACTGGGTAAGAGAAACCTGGCTGCAGCACCAGGCATGAGGATTCTAGCACCAGCTCCCTGGGGGCTCACCCTGCATGAGCCTTGAAGTCCTCGACAGCTTGCAGCGAGTGCTTGAAAGACGCTGGTGTCTGAGCTTAGCCCTCTCCATGCTGCTGGTCCTTTAGAAGGTGGTGGGCTTATGTTCGCATGGTTCTTTCCTAGAATGCCCTATGGGTGACAAGGGGGCTCCCGAGGCTGCTCTCACTGGTCTGTGTTCTGGCTCTCCTTCCGTCTCAAGTGCGTGTTGGCTGGTGTGTTGGGGGTCAGCTGGTTGCCTGTGATGTCCACGCTGCTGGTGCTGCTGACCCACATTGCTCTGTGTCCCCAAGTATGAAGGGCTCGAAGAGGAGCAGACTGTTCACAGGAGTGGCTTGTGGTGCATGGTGCTCAGTCTTTTGTTCCAGCTGTCAGGGCTCTGAGTGCGTCACTTTCCTTGCAGTTCCCAAACCCAACCTGGATGCCTTCGTATTCCTGAGGGTGCAGGAGAGGCAAGAAAACATCTTGGTGGAGCCAGAGACAGATGAGCAGAGGTAGGTGGCCTGTTGCTTTGCTGTGCCCTGAGATGCACATGCCTTAGAAATGCCACCCTCCCTGTACACCGCGCAGCTTCCTGCTGGGAAGAGCGAAGGGGCGTCGTCAGCTGTGGGGAGAGCAGCACCCCTCCGACTGGCCAGATCCAGTCATGTGGCCATTGCAGGAGACTGCACCACCTCTCTCCTCCCTGGTGTGTTTCCATTCAGTGCTGTGCTTGGCTTGCTGCTGCCCTTCCCCCTCACACTGTCTGGCTCTCTCTTTCAGGGAATATGTGATCGACCTGGAGGAGGGCTCGCAGCATCTGATCCGATACAAAACCATCGCCCCGCTGGTGGCCTCTGGAGCAGTTCAGCTCATTTAAAACGTCACAAGACTTAAAGGGGGCAGGGAAGGCCAGGGCCACCTGAGAGCACTGCCCTGCCGGTCGGCGTGTGGACGCACAACGGCTGTGGACAGTTACGAATGCCCATCCTGCCCCCCCGCCTGGGCCCAGCAGCTCCATGTTCCTGTGTGCATGTAGCCTGGGGATAGAAAGGCACAGAGCCAGAGAGAGGTGCCATCAGCGAGGGCCCCTGTCTGGGGCATGCGGATGCTGCTGTGGCTGCTGCTCTGGTGTGGAACCAGCAGGTGGCGCCGCCCCCATGCATACACTCTGGATATTGCGGCCAGGTGGCAGCCCACACACAGTCAGGCGAGATGAGTTGGCGCGAGGGCTAGTGTGAGCAGTTGCCTTACAAAGACAGCTGCCAAACTCTCCAAGTCTGCTTTCTAGGGCCACTGCCGCCGCCCACGACCCTGACCAGGCCTCCTGTGCAGCTCAGTTAGGAGAGACCCTTTCATGTTGTGTGGGGAGGGGATTAGACAAGGGATGGGGGCTTGTGTGGGTTTGCAGCAGGTGCCAGCTCCAAAGGACCTGGGTGGGGCTGAGCGTGTTTGGAACCTGGAGGAGCTCTTACTGGCAAGTAGAAGAATCCGCCCGACCGGGCTCAAATAAACCAGCCACGTATCTCTGGCTCTAGCTCGATGAGGAGGTGGTGTCTGCATCCCTGCCAGGAAAGCTGTATT